TATCTCTGAAGGAGATGGTCTACGTATAATACGCTGTTGGAAATTCTTCCTTTTGTTTCTGAAGAATGATGGTCAGAAAAGTTGTAAGTACACATTGGAAGCACTTACAATTTTGTGCCAAATTCATGTCCTTCTGTCTCCACAACATACCCATCGGCTGATTTGGAACCGGTCAATTAAAGCCAGATATGGTGCAGGAGGAAACATTTCCCTAGATCTTGCATTGGAGCATTACAACAGAGTATTAAAGGAAGTCATCAAGAAGATGGGGTCAAATGCATCTAATGAAAAGGCTGTCAACTGCTTCTGCAAATCCATCACAGCTACCAAACAATTAATGGAAAATTTTGACCAAGACTGCCAGCTACACAAGCAGTCTGGGCGTCATACGAAAACAAAAGCAACCTCTGACTTAAAGTTATAAAAGAACTGGAGAAATGTGGTGCTCTCACAGAATGTTCAAACCGGAAGTTAAAGATTTACTAACATTTCACCATCAATACTAGATGGTTTTGATATGAAATCAATGTTTAAGTGGTTGACTGAGCACAATAAATCAATTTATTTAATTAAAAAAATTATATTTTTACGTATGTCATAAATTTTATTATATCTCAAGTCTATCTATATAAGCTTGTGCCGTAGGGTATTGGCCATTTGAAAAAGTCCCTATATTTATATATATACATATATATATATTTATATATATATATATATATATATATATATATATATATATATATATATATAATACCGTTAAGTAGAGCGAAATAAAACAAGTAAAAGACATGGTTTTCTATGGTTTATTGCATACAGTTCTGTTTCGTACAGGAGTAGCCTGCACTCCTCAGTGCTATACCAGAGTTATTCGTTTTGTATATATATATAATATATAATATATATATAATATATATATATATAATATGTATATATATATATATTTATATATGCAATAAAGTAAAGTATCCAACCTGTGCCTGTAGGAAAAAATGGCAATTCTTAAATCTTCGAAGAACACATTAAATAAAAGAAGTGAACTTTTCGCAAAATGTCTACATAAAAACAGATTCAGCACAAAAAACTTTAAACGCGCAAACACGGCAAAAAAAACACATCACACAAACTATATATATATATAACATTAAGGTCATTATCAGTGGCATGTTCACTCTTCCACATTTCAACAGCATTCTGGATGTCTTCCATTGAAAAGAGCTGATAGCAACTCTGTACAACCTGTGCAATCTGAGGCTTTCCAAACTCAAAAAATATTTTTGGATACAATACAGGTTTGATTGACTTGTCTATTAGTTCCATCATGTATGTTCTCAATTTTGCCTCTAATGCCTTCCTCTGTTCCTGACCAACCGCTCGTCTCTTAGTGAAGTGGTACTTCCCCTCCTCCAATTCCTTCACTTTCATTAACATTGAAAACTTACATTTCCCAGCTTTGGCAGCACAGGTACATGTGGTAGCACAAACATCACAGCATTTACAGCCTTTGCATTTGATGACATGATTACCTGGAAAATATTTCAGAATTTCTTTTCGCCGACATTCTTCTTGTTCTTCTAGTACTTTTTCATGTCGTCTCCACAATGTGATGCCAAGAAAGAATTATGGAGCATGACACAAGTGCTTTCATGGCCATCACGTTCAGCCCTACCACACTCTTGGACATAGCTTTCAATGTTAGAGGATGGACCAAAATAGATCACATAGTGGACACCCTTACAATCAATCCCCATCCCAAAAGCAATTGTGCAAATAAAGGATACGGATGTGACCATCCACCTTTGCTATATTATCAAAATTAGCTGCTTTGTTGACTTTAGTGTACCTGAGTAGAACATCTGAACAAGGCAATCCTTTGCTAAAGTACTTTGCTCCAGATTAAAGTCCTCCTCCAACTCCAGCTTAAAAGTTCTCCAGAGAATCGCACACTATTTTATTATTTGGCAATAAATTATTGTTCTGGGAGTTCTTGTCTTTTCAGTTCAAACATGCTCAATAACATTGTCGAACACATCGCCGAGGGGAATTTCGTTATATAATTTCATCATTATATTTCATCAACATATTGCATCGCATACATTAGGTTTGCCCGGTCTGGACTCACCTCGATCTCCAATGTATTTCCACGGTTCATTTGCAGAACATTGAAGATCTTGGATTTGGTAGAAGTTGTAGCAGTTGCTGTACATGCAATGAAATTGACATCTTTGAATAGTGTCCTCAGCTCCCCCAAGTTCCCATACCACTTCCAGAAGGGCACAGGTTTTTCTCAAGTAGCCCCCTGAAAGTAAAAATGAAAAAAATATGGAATAAAACCATTTGATGAACACATTTAAAGTGCCTATATCACTCTTGGCACCTTTACGGATTTGGAAAGATTAGTTTATAGAGTACAGATCCTTTTTTGATATAAAACAATAGTTTTTCGAGATATCGGGGTTCAAACAGGGCATTTTTGCAAAAAAAGGTGTGTTGCTCAGGAGACTGGGACTCAGGAACCGGCCTTTGGTCAAATACTATAAAATCAACTACGTTTTTGCTTAGCGGCTCACAAAACGCAAATATTTCAGAATAAATTGTTATGTCTGGCTTAAAGTCGTTATCTGGCTCTGACTTACATACGAAACAGCGTCCAAAGGCTTTCATATGCTGTTGAGGAGGAACTACTAAACAATGAGGATGTTTTAGCTAGCATACACTGATGAGCCTTTAACTGACGATTCGTGGGTTGAAGAATATATTCAAAGACAACAACAGCATGCCAGGGAAAAAGAAGAATTAAGTCTTTGTCTAAGCAGAGAAAACCCAGTGAGTTTGTGGTAGGATAATCAAACAATTTTCTATGTTAAAATATTGCGTGGTTGCCATATTGACATATATGTCTTTCAAAAGACAACTGAAGGTCTGAAGCATACTGACAGTGTGTGTCTTTTTTAGGTGCAATTGTGGTAACTGCAATACTGAAAATTTAGTAGAGGCAAAGTGTCACTGTTGCACTGAAATTCCAAACTGTGCCGCTGCATTGTCATTGACTATGGATGATTCTGTTCATGTTTCTGAGTCATCTGATGATGATGCTACGAACACCCAACAAACGTGTATTACAAATCACCCTGGATTCGATGCAATTTGTCTCAACAGATGGTCTTTGGAACTAGCTGCAGATAATTCTAAAACGCATACTGGACAAAAATATAGACAAGTTAGTTCACAGAATAGGTTAGAATCCACTCTATATAAAATTATTAAAATATTATTTTTCTGAGATAATTTATTCAACTTGTATCCCATTAATTTGTATCCCTATAACCCTATTCTCTACTGCAGTACTGCAGCCTTGGTTCTATACAAAATAAATATATAACCTTATTTGACTATATGTGTTTTTAGGTTTCTTCGTGTGGTGGCATATAGACAATGGACGACTTGCGCTTTGGACTAATTTCTTACATTGACGATAAAAAGGACATTTTCTGAAAGAGCTTGCTTAAATTAGTAAAACTGCCAAGTTTGGCTGGGAGTTGTTGTAAATTACGGAAAATACTGCCATGCGAAGTTAATGATTTTTGTATACTTTTGTATTATGGCTGGAAGTTTGCAACTAATTTAGTTACACATTTCCCCACGTAATACAAAAGTATACAAAATATGCCAACTTTGCATGGCTATATTTTCCATATTTTACAAAATTTTGCAGCCAAACTTTGCATTTGCACTAATTTAAGTAAGATCTTTCCAGCTGTGGTGATTTATTTTCTTCTAGTTACTTCCATCAAAAATTAGTCTAAAGCGCAATTCGTCCATTCACACAACCTACCCATGGGTGTTTAAAAGACAAGCAAATCCCTTTGTCGGCCTGTGCTTACAATGCTATCTGCACTACCTTCAAGGAAAAGGAAGATGACTTGTAAGGTTATGAAGATCTGGATGAAGAGGATTAAATTTGCTGTAAATATATATGTAGGAATTTAATAGCAGATACATTAACAATGTTTTGTCATAGCACCTCGAACTTGGATGATAATATATTTTACAATTGAACTCTGCCCTTTTACAAAATTATTTATTTTGGTTCTTGGGGCAATCTTTAACATTTTTGTGGCCTTTCATTGGTTGTTTGCATGCTTTGCACTTTGGCTTGTTTTGTGCAGTGCTATCACCAGGATTTGGAATCACAACAGTAGATACTAAAATGCAAAAACAACAATAATAATGACAAGTTGATACTGTATGTTTACATGTTAAGGAGTGATGGCATCAGCTGTAGCACAAGTATATGATAAATCGCATCATGCAAATTTACCTTCAACTTAGCATTGAATATAAGACTACTAGAGCAAGTAAGGTAACTAACCAGGATTTTTTGGTGGCACATTAATAATGGGCATGTTTTCCCTTCTTTTCTTTTTGTCAATAGCCTCGGCACGTGGCTGCTTGTCAAGCATTTTTTTCATTGGTGGTGGTGTTGAACCTTTTAACTCTTCAATTGCCTTCTTCAGTGTTTTGTTTAAGATTGCATCAATCATTGTATTATATATTTCATCTACATAATCTTCAATTCATATCAATACATAATCTTCAGATTATTATTGAAATGGATTACAGCAAGTGCATGCCTAAGATATATTCCAAAGCAAATTTTGTTATTAAATATACTTAAACTTGCAAAATCACAGCCATAATGTTAATACCTGGAAAACATTCCTTGATAGCTGTATCCAATAATTTTTGGTGAGAACTTGTTGAGCACTGAATGGAATCCCTCTAGAGCACTTGTCTGGCCAAAAGGAGATGCCTGCTTTATACCATTCATCAACTTTGTATTTGTAAGTGCAGCCACCATTTTCTCATATGCAATAGAATCTATAATGGAGATTACAAGAACATCATTCTCACACAATCGAAATTATAATTGAAAATGAATCACAGAGGGCCTATCTAGTGTATTAAAGATATAAATACAGTACTTAAAATGTTACTTACCTTCATCTAGCCACTCCGTGGTTGAATCTCATCTCCATGAGCACACTAATCAAAATGGGGTTTTTGAGATTTTTGTGCTTGTTGACAACGTGGCTGAAGAACGATGAAAACTTAGCCCAAATAACTTCATAATTTCCATCTTTAGTGGTCATGGCACTCCAAAATAGATGGTTTGCACATGGTTTAATCCACTCGTTCAAAATCTCATTTCCACTAACTTTTGCAATTTTTGTCAAAACTTTTGTGATTTCTATAACACAAGAATATACAGAACAAAATACAGGTTGTTTTCTTTCATATTCCCGTAATACCCCCACCCCTGACAGTTACGTATATATTGGTAAATGGTAATTACATATATAATAGGAAAGCGATGGAATAAAAAACTTCTATTTTTTTATTTCAACAACATACTTTTCTTTAGATGCCAAACATCAAAGTAATGTTTGATGCTGGCCAGCTTTTCCCTCATGTGTTTTTCAATTCCTGAATGTCGGTCGGAAGCAAAAGTCTTCATGAGTAAGCCAGTGCCCAGAAGATATTCCATAGCCCATACAAACCCATTGTACTCCATTGCAGGACTGCTACCCACTTTGTTTCTCTATAAATAATATAATATAATTTTCCCTGTAGAGCTGGTATCAATCTCCTAAAATTTGTACTTTAATTACATACCTGCATGATGAATGGAACTGTACAGCAAAATATTGTGTAGGCACAATACTTGACACTATGACCCATGCTGTCATGCCTTCCATCACCAGATACCATGAGATCATCTTGGTTTTTCAATTTTGAAATTAATCCCTCTTGATACTTTTTCCAATGAAGATATATCACAGGAAATAATTTTTCCCGCAATTATGATATACAAGTACTATAAAACACTGGACAACACTCCTGGAATCATGCACCTAACTACTTATTATCAACTTTCAGTATTTAAGCTAATTAGACACGATAAAATCAAATGCACATTGTCAGCTAAATATTATGAGTACACTCACATGTTGATGCTTAAAAAAAGTTGAAAGTGAGAAGCATTTCAATCCCTTATGCTGGAATACTCTCAGGAGTTTGGTGGCTGATGTGCCAGCAACAAGAATTCCAAATGAAAGTAATAAATTGCCAGCTGGAACCATTGTGCCTGTTATATATGGCTGACTGAACCATTTGCTTGTCTTGCCACACTTCGGGTTAGCACATATGGAGGTCACTTCTGCCATTGTACTATTTTCTGGAACTTCAACAAGAGGATTGTCACATTTGCAGGCATGGCAAAATTTGAAGAGAGCAAGTAACTGTGTAAAGAACACAATAAACTTTGGCTCTCTTCTTAAATTGGAATCATTGAAAAAGATTCTAAAAAATAACAGTTTATTTTAATTATATATTTCAGTCACTTGGGCATTATAGCTGGTGTGTCATATATAAGGAAAAATGTGTTGTCTGGATTGTTTTCTACTGTATTTACTGTATTATGTTTACATATTACTGTATATTCTATCAGGGTTGTGGCCTTACTTTTTATGTTGAGGATTTACCTCATCCTCTGTCTCAGTTGATTCACTTATTGATTCTTCTTCATCATATAAATCACCTGATGGAGGTATTCCAATATCTGAGCTTAATAGCTCATCAAAATCATCTGATGAAGGTATTCCAATATCTGAGCTACAATGTGCATCATCACCTGCTGTGGTTGACATGGTACTAGGATGTGCATCTTCTCCTGTGTTTTTTACAATCATAGAAAATTTGTTATATTGTTAACTATTGCAGCTGGGACACTGCATGTTACCGTATGTGCAAGTTTATACCCAGAGGGCAGAGGCTACAGTGTGTTATGTACTCGACATTCAGTGTAAAAAGATGTATATTTCATATCAGAAATCATTTATACACACATATAAATATTACGTCATTGAATAATAATTATACCTAACTAATTATTCCAAAGTCTCAACATCTCCCTCATTCAAGAAGATTTAATAAATGTCAGAAGAAATTATAAAGTTTTAAATGTTTTTTTTTCTCAATGTTTTCTCACAGTTATACTAAATATGTTCTGGATACTCAATCTGGATTCACTCCGTAACGCTGTGGCTTACGCACTCTGCGTCCATATCTCGTGATCTGGATTCCTTCTGTATTTGCGTGCTTCTCTTCTTCAACTGGTAAATGTTCTGTCTGCAGTGGTACGTGTTCTGTCTGTGGGGTATCCTCTTCTGAGTCCTCATTGAATGAGTCACACTGCCTTTCATTAGTCTTTAAAAGGTGTTGTCGATTTCGTCTGAATATTCGACCATCTTGAGTCTGTACCAGATACGATTGTGGTGCCGTATCATGTTGCTCAATGACAGTTATTTGTACCCACTTTCCTTTCCTTTGCATTCTTGCAACCTCTCCTTTGCGAAGGGGCGGTAGAACTCTTGACCCAATGTCATAGTATTTCTTTTGGATTTGCTGACTAGATCGCAATTTTTTCACAACATTTTGTTGGATTTGTGGCTGTAACAATGATGTAATGGTCGGAAGACGACTCTTCAATCTGCGACTCATAAGCAGTTGTGCTGGCGATTTATTAACGCTATCCAAAGGACTATTACTGTATTCCAGTATTGATAAATAGGGATCTTGGCCACTTTCATCAGCTTTCTTTAGTAATTTTTTTACTGTTTGGACTGTTCTTTCAACCTGTCCATTGGACTGAGGATACCCAGGGCTCGAAGTGATGTGAATGTTGATCCCATTGCTCTGGTAGTAAACTGGTGTGACATAAGACCAAAATAAATCAATATTCAACACATATAACTTACCAGAACTTCTTGCAATTTGCCTTCTGCAAACTTCCAGCTTATTTTTTGCAGACAGCCAGTCACTTTTAAGCCTCTTATTTTTTAGCAATAAAGCTTTGCAATTGCTACATTCTCCATGCTATAAAGACAAAAGTACTTATTTGCAATAGACCTTTTGTATGTTAACAACACAAGCATCTGTCATTAGTATATGGCCTTATCAGAGTATGCATGACCACTGACTGTTTCTAAACATCACTCTATGACATATGATACAATCGGTTCTATAGTCCAAAAATCTCACCACTTTTCTTTTCATGGAGGTTGAAGGTACGGTTTCCTCACCAGTTGAAACTCTTTCCACAAATGTAATCTATAATTGTAGATATTTGATGTAGATGTTTTGTAAATACACCAAACCAATAATATGTATTAAGATCTAAAATAGTCACGTTTGTTGACGTAGAAGGCTGAGGATCTTCCACAGTTGGGATTCCCTCAAGTGCTCTGTAAAAATTATTCGAAAGATTTTATATCTTAGCTTTAAATACAACCTATTAAAAGTAATCAAGTATATAAGTACAAACCAAAGCTAGAAAAATGCCCAATTAAGAATGAAATATAGAGTATACACAAGATATGACACATACCTTCCCTCAGCGTTGTAAGCGCATGGTGCATTCACTATCAAAAGATGTCGCTCAGGCAGCAGAGAAGGCACAGCAGTTACTCCAATTTCATCCCGCTTAAGCTTTGGGGTCTTGTACTTCTTTACAGTGCTGGAACCGTAATCAAAACACTCTTCCGCGAAGTGTTTAGAGCACACAACTGAGCTAGCACTTGGCAGCCATTTGTCTCTTTTCCGCCAAATAAAGTCCTCCCATTTCTTTCTTCTGGCTCTCGCAATTTGCCTGCTATCATCCCAATAAGGTATACAGTATAAAGATATACCTTTCTCCGAACTAGCTGTGTTGTTACAACCGTAGACAACACACTGTTCTGGCATTATTTTGAAAAACGCAAAGGATACTACCAGCGAAAATATATGTTTTTGTTAGGAAAGATGGCGTGCTTGCAAATTAGGTTCCTGACTCCCAGTTCCCCGAGCAACACGCCTTTTTTTAAAAAAATGCAAAAAATGCCCTGTTTGAAACCCAATATCTCGGAAACTATAGTTTTATATCAAGAAAGGATCTATACTTTATAAACTAACTTTTTACACTCTTTCCAAATCCGTAAAGATGCCACGAGTGATATAGGCACTTTAAAATTGCATGGTTTCAACATTTAACTGATTGAAGTATTTCCCTAGCAGATAGCTGCTTGTGATTGATGACCACATAGTTAGTACAAGTTGACACATTTCAATGTAACAACAGAACAACTTTTAATAGTACTTACCATTGACTGATGCAGTGAGCTTCGTCCACTGCAACTAGAACACAATGCTCAAAGAAGTATGGCGTTCTTAGCATCTTTTGCAATCGCTTTACACTTAGCATCGATTCAGGAGTAGTGTAAATATAGGCATAGTGACCTTCTTCGATCTCTCTCAACACATCCTCGTTTTGGCCATGGTACACAGCAGCAGCATTAAATCCTAAGGACTTCAAATATGCGACTTGGTCGAGCATCAGAGACACCAAAGGGCATATAACGATGGCAATGCTGGTTCCAACGACTTGTTCCTCGAGAAGGTCACTTGGAAGATTAGAGACTTCCGGTAGCTTGTGCCAGCACTAAAGAAGATATTCTTACCAAGTAAGAAGGCTTTGAGTGCCTCGACTTGCTCTCGATGAAGACTTTCCACTTGAAAAAAACAGCATACAATCCGAATAGCTTCCGAAAAGTGCTCTCCTTCAAGCAAAGATGGTTCAATGAAGGATGCCATGTTGTTTGTGAAAAAAATAAATATTCTGAAATTTTAAAGTGCTACTGCAACGAAATTTTCGACCCCTTTTTTATTGGCTCAATTTAAAGTGTTCACTTTCCTGATTTCATTTCTGAAAACAGAATCAAAATTGGCTTTCTCAAAAGATTTTTATAGCTCTCCAAAGTCGCGATTTTTGCCACTTCCTGTGCGAACTTTTGCTCCACCATATTGTGGTTTGTGACATAGAAAAGAGTACCGATTCTTAGCATGGCGTAAAAATACTAGTTCTTTGCGCGGCTAAGTCAATTTCAATGATTCGTATATGACTCTTGTTTACCAAGATCCCTTAAATAAAAGAGTATTTAAAGGAGATTCTGTGCATACATTTGATGTCTGAAGAATCGTAGCACAAGTTGAAAGCTAACAGATATATAGGCAAAGGCTGATATTATCATCAATGCGAAGATACTTCGCGCGCACATGCATTCATGATGAATTATAGTGATGTTGGCCTTGGTGTCTTAATGTGCACGGCCAGTGTCGTTTCTTGAGACATTGAAGTTCAATTTAAATCAGCAAAGATGGTGTTTCTTGAGTATTTATGTAGATAAACGGACCTGTGTTAGTGTTTCTTTGATATATTTCGATATGCGCTATTGCAAAACAGTGGCAATGTGGCATTTACAATCGTGCAGTATCATATTACTGTTTATGATTTGCGGGAATATATCGCATAGTGTGATACACCAATATTATCAGTAACAAGGACATCATATCATTGCCTTCGTCTTCGTTTATTGAAAGACTAAGCAGTTTTTTTAAGTTCTTCAAGATCGTCTTATGTAGGACTTTGTGGCATAAAGGACTTTGCGGCACAACATATACATGCTTATATATGGCATATATTACTACATTATATCCCTGTCAGACGGGCTAAGACTAATTTGAATTTTCTAACAAATCGGCGTATATTTTCAGACCCTTTACCAGACATTCCTTGAATATATGTTAGGTAACAGACTTAACTTCCATTTCAAAATGAAATGATTTGGTTCTCCGCGTCAAGCTCGAAAATTCGAAACAGACAACACACAAGCTATATATATTACCATAAGCTTCGAAACATCGGTACTCGTTATGACGTCACATCAGCAAACATGACGGCTATAAAAGTTCACATTTGATACCGAAGTTTGAGGACAAAATTAGTCAACTTCTACTTAACACACAAAAGTCATATATACATCAAATTGTTTCTAAAAGACTGAATATTTGTTTAGGCTAATAAAAATGGGGTCGAAAATTTTGTTGCAGTAGCACTTTAAATATTTGCATAATTATAAGCTAACCAATCAAAATGAGTCCCACAATTTTTGGGAAACCCACGTGACCATACAAGCTTTGTGCCGCTGATTAAGCAGACTATATATACCCCAATATATAGTCTGTGTTGCAGGCTAGCATTTGTTAGGTGTGCAGTGTAATATTATGAATGAAGAAGAGTGTGGTTGTGAGAATGTTGAAATGCTACCATATGGCATTCCAACTAATATTGACACAAAATCGACTGCTGAATGCACAGATGATGAAATGGATAGCATTTCAAGTATGGGAGAATTCCATTCGGAAGAAGCAGAGTTGGAAGAGGATAAAAGGTATTTTCACACCACAGATTAGTTACCTATGGCTCAAGCATCTAATATATTTAATATATTTTTTCTACATTTAATATATTTTTCAGGGATCCACATTAAAATTTATGCCAGGAACCAAAATATATTGTTTTCCTTTTGCAGTTGCTTTTATTTTTACGTTTTGCCACTATTGTAAACAAGATAATCCTCTGGTGAAAACCACAATAGATGGAACTATAGTAGTTGTCCAAACAAGTTGTGGAAAACTAGGCTGTGGGGGAAACAAATAAATTTGGAAAAATCAACCACCAATGCCAAAAAGCAATGTGAATGCTGGAGATTTCCTTCTAAGTCATTAATACGTTGTATATGATGATTATAGTGATGCTGCAGTACGAGAAACCAAAGTAGATCAAAACTTTGGTAAGAAAATGAGTGGTGGACTGTGTGTTATTTATTGCTGTTTGTATTTCAATGAAAGATAATAGTAATGTAAGCAAATAATAATATATAAGTTGTGTTATTGGACATATGTTTCTCCATTACCTTTTGTTTATCTGACTTTGTTAAGTTTGACTTAAGGTGGCTTGATACATTAATTGCCTTGCCAGCTAATACCCGCTCGTAGGAAATTTAAATGCCAAGCAAGACAAAGATGGCAGATTTAAAAAGCCTGGAAACCCCCGAAAGCATTACAATGCCGCTCTGCGAGAATACATTTAAAAATAGGACAGGAAAATTTTATCAGTGAAAAAAGGATAGTCAGTGTTTCATCAAGGAGGAAGTTTATATTTTAGTTTTATTGTTTAATAAAATATAGTCATGATAAATACTGATAAGGCCTGATCTAGGAGTGAACTGAATTATACTGTAAATATATGTGGTATGTGATGGATAAGTTCTAATCCAGTTTTTACCAACCAGCTCCTGTGGTTTACAGTACAAAAAAAAGATAAAATACATTCCTGTTTTCTGATTTTAAACAAACAGGCCGATGATAATATTAATATTAAATATATTAAAAGAAAAACTGATTGGGCTGGGAAGTGTATATGTTCAATGTCTGGAATGCGACCACCTGAATGAAGTTTGTACATCCTCACAACACTGATCTGGAACATGTGCACCACCTTGCATGGATGTCAACACCTGACTTTTCATGGGATGTCTTCATACTGGAATGGGCCATCCTCATGTTAACCACCTTTTTTCCACTTTGAATGTACCAACCATAAGCCATAAAACATACAAGGTTCGTGAACAAGAAGTAGGTTGAGACTGTGGCACAGGCCTATGGTACCAGATGAAAGAATGTAGTCTATGGTACCAGATGTAACAATTGCTGATTTTTTGCAGTGGTCAAGGTAAAAGGAAAAAAAACTACAGTCCATGACTTCAGAAAAAATCACACAGTCCATGACTTCAGAAAAAATCACACAGGGTCTTCAAAGTCTGTGGAAAGTTCTGTTGCCTGTGAACTGTGGAACAAAGCACCATTATCAAACACTATTAAGTACACCATATACATTGGGGATGATGACACAGCAACTGTATGCCAAATGCACGAGAAAGTACCATATGGTGTTGATGTCAGAACATCACACATGCTAAAGGATTATTGACAACTAGATTGTATAACCTAAGTCAGCAAAGCAAGTTTAAAGACTGTTCTGTACTTTCGCAAAAGGTTATCAACCATTTTGCCAAATTGCATCACTTAGAACAAAGATGATCCAGCACAGCTAAAGAAATCACTGCTACAAATAGTCCCACATGCATTTGGTGATCACACGTCAAAATGTGATGCCAAATGAATATTCACATTATATTATGCCTGGATGAAAACAACCAAGTATGCAGCTAATGTTAGTAAACTGGAATTATTGAGAACAAATAGGCAAAAAACTCTCCTGCACAAGGCCACCCTGTAAACAGTACTTCAAAAGATGATGCCTTACTAATGTTCATACAGTGCATTGAAAATATTAAAAGCCTGTGTTTTTAAACAATAAAATAATACCTGTGTTGATTGGTCATAATGCATCCGTGTTGGATGTACCAGTTCTTTAGCAATCTTTAACCCCAGGATATATCCATGCATTGAAAGAACTTGATGCCCACTTTGCAGACTTGCCAAGCAAATCTTGAAAGAACATCATCCTGCACTTTGTATGGCTTCAACTGGCAAGTTTTGCCAAGCTTTGTTTGGGAGTTTCTATTCCACCTTATTCGATGCTTCATTTCCAGCACACAACACAATGCTTTGGAAAAAGTGAAAGCTTTATTAAAGGTACTGTTCCAGTTAAAGTTACATCTCACCACAGAAAACATCATATCGGAATCCAATGTAATGTTTGTCAACAGTGCTTTGGTTCAGCTTCATTAAAATGATAGCTGCTATGTTTGACTGCAAACATTTTCTGGCAATCTGTTCAATCTAGCTGAAGGCAAAGCAATACCAATGAAAGCTATGGTAAAAAATATAGCAGCAAGTAGTATAACATATCAAAATCTCATTAATTTGTCGAGACCAACAGGAAACGAGGGACTCGTTGCTATTCTTAGCTTACCACCATCAAGTACGAAATCAGCAAAACCATGAGTAATGAGAAATCAACATATCTTGATGGATATTTGTTCATACATTTACCACTTCTGGATAGACTTTTAACTTTTAAGCCATGAATTATCTTCAGACTAACTATTTTTGCATCCCATTCAATGATTTTTAATAAAATAGTTCCAAGAATAACAAACATTGAATTCCATCTTGTTGTAAATATATTGTATTTTGCTCACACACTCAGCTAGATTGATAAATTTCGCATTCTTTTGTTGACAATTATTTGTATTATAGATAAATTTCGCATTCTTTTGTTGACAATTATTTGTATTATAGTTGTTTGAGCTGATGCTTTTAAAAAATAAATTAGCAACATCCAAATTGATGTTTGTCTAGTTTTATTTTCAAATGCAGTGCCAGAGTTAGAAAGTTTGCAAAATGCGAGGGTGAGATTAAATTTTGGGTGCATTTGTGCCAGCGATGTTTTGCAAATTTTGGAAGTGGGGGAACGCTGAACGCGTATTTCAAAATTCAATGGGCGTGGCCTATATATGGGCGTGGCCTATATATGGGCGTGGTCAACTGCCTATAATAAGTTAATAGCCAATTTAGGCATTGCCAAAATACATATAATACAAATTATACAATATCATGTTATACAAAGAGTAAATTCAAACTAATTAACTTGTTAAGACTATGTTCTATATCAGTGATATTTATGTCTAAAATGTCTAAAGTAATTGCCAAAGTCGTTGTTTTGCGGCTGTCTGCTGCTGACTTTCAGCATCTTCCCCTAACTTTCGCTTTCTTACTCTTTCATCATTGGCTGAATGATGTTTTCGCAGCCAGGATTTAGTATATTTTTCTGGATTCCAAGCATTAATCGAAGGACCAACAAGTTTAATAAACATTAAATTTGATATTCGTTCAACAAGTAGGCGATTTCTTAATGACGTACAAACCAAGTTCATTTGACTAAACCCACGTTCGCATTCTGCCGATGAGACCGGGATACAGGAGCAACATCTCAATAGAGGCTGGAGATTGTCAGGAACTCGTCTCCCTTGACTATCAACATAGTCTTGGAACGCAGGCACTGTTGAACTTCTTGGAAGGGAAAAACCGATCGCACAATGATCGTACCTCTTCCTCACCATAATTTAGATCAAGATCCTGTGGCCAATAAGTTGGGTAGAGAACGCAAATCTGATCAAGAAGCTTCTGATAGGCAGCACTTTCGCGAACAGTTCCGGAGGCACATGTGGCAAACAGACGATCTTTCATTGCATCTAGCAATTTGTCTATTAATGCATTAGCATCAATATTGACATGTCTACGATTGGAAACTAGTGGTACAGTGCCAAATTTTCCTTCCTTGACCACATCCTTGGCCATCATCAACTTTGTTCCAGTCTTGCGCTTCAATGTTTTGATGCTTCTCATGGACCGCTTGATACATCTGTCGGCTTTGACGATGTTCATTGAACGGTGTTGCATGGCCTCGGAGAGCTCAGAAAGCTCAAAAAGAACATCACACATGAGTGCCAAGTCCAACAAGAATTCCTCCGACTGGATTCGCTTGTTTAACCCCTCGTACATTGTTGAATTCTTTCCTTTTTCAGCTGCTTTGTCTTTGAAGTGTTTGCAGAGTGCTTCGTAGTTGTTCCAAACTGCCAAAACCGTCCTGTGACTACTCGCAACCCATCTCGTACTTAGTATACTCCTTACCGATCTTTAGAAGCTGGACATCTAGACTTTTAGCAACTTCTTGTAGTTCGCGCACATTTTTGGGCGATTGGCTGTAAATTGAATACAGTCTTTCAACAAAAATCTTAAAATGGTTTATTCCCATCAATTCTGAAATCGCATCGTCAACTGCAAGTTCTAGGCGATGATTCTAAAAAGGTGCCAGGTGATGAGATTTGGAAAATCATTCATAAGTAGCTCCATGACTCCCGACTTCTTTCCAGTCAAGACACTAGCTCCGTCTGTTGTAAATGCAACAAAATGTTCTTGCAAGTAATCCATGTCAAACCCATGCCGTTTTAAACAAGCAAGTAGTGCTGTATGAACCTCTTTTGCACTTTGACCACTTGTCAACTCCACCAAGTCCAGAAACAAGAATTGTGCTTCTCCTGACCTTTCGAGTTGAGCTTTTAAGTAAATTATCAGTGTTGAAATACCAGACACAGTAGTAGACTCGTCAATCAGAATGGACACTTTCCCTTTGTTTTCTTTGATGGTCTTGCAAATCGTGGAACGCATCTCATATGCAATATGGTCAATTATAGCAGTTGCAGAAGATCGTGAATGCAGCCCAGTCCCCATATCGAGCCCATTATGAATTTGCAAGTCAACTAACCCTTCTATATCGTTTAACGGTCGATCATTCTTTGCTATATAATAGCTCGTGCGAAAAACTCTTTTTGTTGTATCTAACCATTCAGTATTCATGACGTCCATATGCGCAGGCATGATGTTCTTCTTCTGCTGATTCACCATCTCTTCTGCTCGTTTATGTGCATCGTTGTTTAAATGTTTGTAAATTTTTTTACGGAGTGAAGTTGACCTAGCTTCTTGCGAATTCCCGTAATATGTCACGCTTGTTGCTTGCCATTCTGTACTCGGGTAACAGCCTTGTGTTCTGTGCGGACCAAGATCTTTTGCTGAAATATAGAAACTGCACACAAGTTTTCTATTCTTACACTGTAGCCATGGGTAGAGTTGTTGTTTTTCGTTCCACATTTTATCCGTCCAGATCGTTGGCTTGTCAATCACATCAGCCGCTGTCGATGGACCTGCAGCTTCGTCAATTTCGTTGGTTTCGACATGTGCGCTATGTTCACCTGCATTTTCCGGTTGGGGTTCTGCTTGTTCTGGTACTTTCTCGTTTTCTGCAACTAAAACTTCAGCTGACTTTTTAAAAAATCCAGTGATTGTAGGTTGTTTGGACATTTCCTTACCAACTTATAAAACCTAATATTCTATTTCTTAAGTGTTTTTAGCACAAGGACAATAATATCTTTTGATATTATTTTATTCCTTAGAAATTTGTTGATACTTGATACCGTTCTACAGAGATGTCACTCTTGAGAGTGTTTAGTGAGACTATATTATTACTAAATTTTATTTCCTAACAGAATTATACAGTGTTCGTCAGTTTCAGGCATTTCCTTGCGCGCCTACCGGAAACCACATAATGTGCGCAAAACATTAGCGTGACTGCGTGACTAGGCACTACATGTTCTTCGAAGGTTCTAGATACTAACAAATTTGAATAAGCGGATCTATATATATTTTTTACTATATGTTGAGAAATTACAATAATCGATCATGCATTAATGTTCTATATTTTTATCATGAGTTCTATACTTTTATAAATCTTGTTTGGGGGAACGCCGTTCCCCCATGTGTAATTTTTGCAAGGGGAACGCCATTCCCCTTGTCAAAATAGTGGGGGAATGTCATTCCCCCACGTTCCCCCTGCAAAACATCGCTGATTTGTGCATGGGCAGTTACTGTGTAACTGTGTACCATGTACTAATACTGTGTAGGTAGTATGATTTTTTCTCCTCCCCCATGATACCCCCAGGGTTTCATGGCACATACTAGCCTGCATCCTCCTCGGGTTTCATGGCACATACTAGCCTGCCTCCTCAACATACAACAAAAAAAACAACTAAAAATCAGTTCTCAATAAAACAAAACCATTTCCTGCTACCAATTGTAACGTGCTAGGCAAAACCCTAGTCACTTAATGATGACTTTATTAACATTTCACACAGCCTTATATACACATGTAGTCATGTACAACTATTTACAATTCAAATTTATTCACTAGCATTACAGCACTATGTGCTCATCATAGTATAAAGTGTTAAGAAGTGAGTCACTGAGTCTTTATTGTGCATGTAATGATCACACTCTTATGAGTACAAAGTTCATTCATATATCAACTTGTAATTGGTTAGATTGATTAGGTTGTTATTTGATATTCTTTTGCATGCTTATATACATGTGGTCACAATAGTATTTTATGTTTTATCTTTTACTGATCTGGTTATCAGGTTATACTTTATGAATAAATCATGATTGAACTTATCATGTTCATTAGTTACCTGATCATTGCCAGTCTTGCCAGCTTCACATTACCAATTGCTGTGATCTCACCTCAGTCACTGAGATATCAATGCAACATAAAATGCACTGTACCCTGGGGCAATCAGATGATGAACATGGTAGATCCTAGGAAGCATTAAATGACATCCACATAAAACCTACATGTCTAATATTGGTCTCGTAAGAGTTTTAAAAGGGGCAACCCATATTGCCTATTTTGTTTCACCAAAAGCCAATGTATTATAAAGTAAAAAAATCATGCAAAAATAAATGAAAATGAACCTCTGCAGCTGTATTGAAACTCTGCAGCTCTGAAACTCTGCAGCTGTATTGATCTTCAGAGATTTTTGCAACGGTCGAATGTAAATTATAGCTTGGCCAATGCCCGATGACTCTTAAAAAAGGAACAGTGTATCCTGAAGAAGTTCTTTATTAATCACACCACTGGGAAGAAACTCAAAACCTCCGCCACTTTTCATTTTTGGATAAACTGTCTCGATTTTAACCATGAGTGCCGAAGCATCATCATAACGCCCAATTGTTTTTGTTTTCCTTCCTAGTCCAGCATCTTGTAGAGAAAGTTTATCTCTTCTTGAAGGTTGGGTATTCTGAACATGACTTGCTAGACAGAAAAACTTGTGGGTCCAAGTATCGTTAACAACAAATGAATGCAGAGTTCTTAAATTATTCTTTCTGGGCTTGCTTGGCGGAGCAGTCAATGCCCTACACCTTTGTTGGGTGAAAGAAGAAGTGGGGTGGTTGTTGTATGGAGCAAAAAGTTGCCTAAAATTTGAAAGTGCTTGACCAGCAGCAACAGGTGTCAGCAACAGGTGCTTGATGTGTTCGGCTGGGAGGTTGTCTCACCAGTATCTCTAGCATTTTCAAATAAACTTCGACTATCAGGAGGTTGCCCAATATTACTATTAGGTGAAAGAGGTGACTCTGCTTAACGTAGCAATGAAACAATGGCACTTAAACAATGGCACTTAAATCACGAGTCAATTCCTGCATAGAGTTATCGCTTTCCGTCATGCTGAAAAATAGGTGTAAATTATAATTCCGCGTGAAAATAATTTATGCAAATTATTCAGCGTAACTAATTATCAATGTTTCACAATTTAAAGTAGAACGATTTAGTGTTTCACAATTTAATGTTGCACAATCTCTCTATTCACAATTTTAATGCATCACAATTTGATGTTGTATGATTTAGCTCTTCACAGTTTATTGTTTTCAAATTTACGACTTTCACCATATAGGGCACCACAATTGCAGAGTAACCTTGGGTAACTTTGCACTTTTCTTTTAAATTTAACACAAATATTGCAGCATGCCATTGCATTTCATTAAAGTGCTACTGCAACGAAATTTTCGACCCCATTTTTATTAGCCTAAAAAATATTCAGTCTTTTAGAAACAATATGATGTACATATGACTTTTGTGTGTTAGGTAGAAGTTGACTAATTTTGCCCTCAAACCTCGGTATCAAATGCGAACTTTTATAGCCGCCATGTTTGCTGATGTGACGTCAGAACGAGTACCAATGTTTCGAAGCTTATGGTAATATATATAGCTTGTGTGTTGTCCGCTTCGACTTTTCGAGCTTGACGCAGAGAACCAAATCATTTTATTTTGAAATGGAAGTTAATTCTGTTACCTAACATATATTCAATGAATGCCTGGTAAAGGGTCTGGAAATATACGCCGATTTGTTAGAAAATTCAAATTAGTCTTAGCCGGTCTGACAGCGATATAATGTAGTAATGTATGCCATATATATATAAGCATGTATATGTTGTGCCGCAAATTTCTTTATGCCACAAAGTCCTACATAAGACTATCTTGAAGAACTTAAAAAAACTGCTTAGTCTTTCAATAAACGAAGACGAAGGCAATGATATGATGTCCTTGTTACTGATAATAATGGTGTATGCTATGCGATATATTCCCACAAACCATAAACAGTAATATGATACTGCACTATTGTAAATGCCACATTGCCACTGTTTTGCAATAGCGCCTATCGAAATATATTAAACACACACTAACACAGGTCAGTTTACCTACATAAATACTCAATGCCACTGTTTTGCAATAGCGCGTATCGAAATATATCAAACACACACTAACACAGGTCCGTTTACCTACAAAAATACCTTCCTGATTTAAATTGAACTTCAATGTCTTAAGAAATGACACTGGCCGTGCTTAAGACACCAAGGCCAACATCACTATAATTCATCATTGATGCATGTGCGCGGGAAGTATCTTTGCATTTATGATAAAATCAGCCTTTGCCTATATATCTGTTAGCTTTCAACTTGTGCTACGATTCTTCAGACATCAAATGTATGCACAGAATCTTCTTTCAATACTCTTTTATTTCAATATTTTCTTTGACTTTGGCAATCCATCTTTTCGTTAGGAACATATGTATAGGTATTTAATAATTTTGATGAATACTGGCTTAGTCGGGACTGTAAGAAACACAGTTTCTTCGTCGATGAGGCTACTTAACACTAGTATTTTTACACCATGCTAAGAATCGGTACTCTTTTCTACGTCACAAACTACAATATGGCGGAGCAAAAGTTCGCACAGGAAGCGGCAAAAATTGCGACTTTGGAGAGCTATAAAAATCTTTTGATAAAGCCAATTTTGATTCTGTTTTCAGAAATAAAATCAGGAAAGTGAGCACTTTAAATTGAACCAATAAAAAAGAGGTCGAAAATTTCGTTGCAGTAGCACTTTAATACTGTAAGAGTAAGTATTCTCCTGCAAATGTGTACCCCTGTCAGGCTAACTTCCATTGGATGCACCATACAGAGGTCTCTCATTGTTGTTTTCATTTTGGTTCTCATCAAGACAATCGACAGCTTCACTATGTTCTCTCTTAACATGTTTTTTAAAAGAATTCCATTCGACTTTCCACAAATTGTACAGTGTACAAGAAAGTTCGGTCAGTTTCATGCTTTTTCAGCAGGTGGTGTGCGACACAGACCGCAAAGCATATCGGGTCAAATAAAAAAAATTCATTAGAACGCATTTGATCGTTGACACGAACACATGACAAGACAAAATAGATACCGGTATGGGTATTTCTGGGCTTTTACTGATTTTAACATCAAAGAAAATTCATCTTCGAGAGTTTTATGGGAAAGTCGCTGCGGTTGATATTCACTGCTGGCTTCACAAATCTATCAGTATTCACTGTGAAGACATTGCGCTTAAAAGAGGAGATTTAACCAGGTAAATAATCCGTTATAAATGTAAATTTATGTAAATTGAGTATGAAATGCCATCCTCGATAAATGTATGTTTTGATTTTCAACTTGCAGATGTATCAACTCCTGTTTATTATTTGTAAATATATTGAATGACCATAATATAACGCCACTACTCGTGTTCGACGGAAGAAAATTTCCTCTGAAAGTTGTAAATACAGAAAGAGAAAGGTAAAAATCACAGTACATTATGTGGAAATACGACTTGTGACCTGGAGACTAGGTTTTATATACTCTATATTGTATACCTAATTTATCGAATATATTTTAGAGTTCGCAACGAAAATCTTCGTATCGGACTAGAGCTATGGAACAGAGGTTTACACAATGAAGCCAGGAAGCATTTTAAGATGGGTGTTTCTGTTGGGCAAGATTTGATATCTGGGCTTATTAATGTAAGTTCAGGAGAGCATTTTTGTTCAGGAGGGCCAGGGGGAATTTCGAAGTTTTCTAGTGCAGAGATTTTTTAAGCGGTTCTTGTATGAATACCTGGCATGAATACCTGTCACCATTGAAGTATACCTGCTATAATTATTTAATACCTGACATTTATACACAGCATTAATACCTGGCATGACAAGAAACTTCTATGAAATGTTGAAATCTCACTCCAATATATTAATTGACTATTAACTGGACCATAGCTGTTTAAATCTGTCATTTATGACACACCCTTGAGCATACTCTAAACATTTACTCATTCATTTGTTATAATCTGTTTCATTTTATTATTTAAGGAGTGTCGAAGGAGAAAAATTACCTATATCATTGCCCCCTTTGAAGCTGATGCTCAGATCACCTTCATGCTGCAAAATGGTTATGCTGATTTTGCATGTAGTGAAGATTCAGATTTGCTTGTGTATGGCTGTAGTGAGGTAGAAGTGAATTTAACATGATAACTTTTTAGGACATTGTAACATGTATGAAAGTAGCAATTTTATTTTTTGCTTAATATTGCTACATGCATGGCAACCTTGCTCTTTCTTTATAGGATATTTAATTGTTTTAGTACTTAGTACTCAGATCAATCCTAATGAAGACACAAGATTGTTGGAATATTGGGCTGTTAAATATAACTAAACTGTTTAAATATTGCAAACCAGAGTACTGTGTACAGTGTGAAGTTTATGATATGTATACCAGCTAGTATAAATAATGTCAGTGGTAATGATATATTTTTTCCATTTTTGTTGCTAGGTGATATATAAAATTTCCTCTGATGGTACTGGTACGTTAATCACATCAGAGGATCTTGGGCCATCAATGAACTTCAAGTATTGCCCATTTTCTCTGGAAAGATTTCAGGAAATGTGCATTTTAAGTGGCTGTGATTACTTAAAGTCCCTCCCAGGCATTGGAATTCAGAGATCCAGAAAGGCAATTAGTCAATATGGATTTGTGGTATTGATTGGATAATAGATAACCTATCTATGGTAACTGGTATTAAATCACTGAAAGTACCAGATGATTATAAAGACAGTGTCCATCTTTGTATGAATATTTTCAAACATCATCCAGTGTTTGATCCACAGGAGAAAGTTATCAAACCTCTTCATTTATCTAAAGGCATTAAAGATATTGCAGATACATGCATGCCCAGGTAAGGGTTTGTCATTGTAGTTACCATAATAACCAGCCTAGCTCAAACATAGTATTTTAAGTAACCTGAACCAACTAACAATACACATAATAATACTAATAATACCTAGACTAATAAAACTGTAATAATACTGTATAACCTATATATGTATCTTCTTACAGATTGGAAAACTGTGATGCAATTCAAATTGCAATTGGGAATGTGTGTCCAGAGACTCTTCAAAAACTGAACAATTACCCAGTTCCACATGTACAGTATAATTATATTTTTACACTTTATTTTACTGCCACATTCAAAGTACCTCAGTATAATAATGACATAGCTAACTCAAAATCATTTGTCTTGTGAGGTACGATTATTGACAAATTTAACTACAGTAATTTTTGTAATCACACCACGGGTTGATTACCTACTAATTGTACCTCATTGTTTATGTGCATGCTTGTAAAAGGTTAATTTGAACTTATGCAAACAAATAAAACATCCTATTCTCAGTAACAATATTACTAATTCTCCCTCTGCTTTCAGGTACATTTAATCACTAATCAACCTGAATGCCATAATATCATTTATAAAAGTTCATTTTAAGTTTTGACTTTCTAGGGCTGTTTGGTTAAACAGCAGTACACAGCTGAAGTAACTAATTTGGTTACAAAAGAAAATGCTGGAAACAGGGGTAATTATTAATAAGTAATTATTGTATGATTTTTATTAATAATTTATTAAATAATGTAACAGTAAGAAAAATTGTGTACTAGAGTTGTCAAACTGTTCATTGCAGTATAATTGCTTTACTCCTAGATACTACTGTAGACAGTGGACAAGGACACAACCAACTTCTATTAAATGGAAAGTTGGTTAAAGTTTTGAAAGCTAGTGAACACCTGATGTGGACAGTCCCTTGCTTCCCAGTTCTTACAATCAACTTCATCATTGCTGAAATTGATGTAAATGGTGAGTCTTTTTTGGCACTTTTTAAAGAAGAAGATGTTACAAAATTGAGATCTCTTCCAACCACCATTGATTGTTTGTCCACCTGCAACATAATGGTAAATGATGTTACATACAAAGTGATATGGGAGTGGTCTACAGTGTTAGCTGACAATGAAGATTCTTTTGATTTCCTAACATCTCTCTCAAGTTTGCATAATGCAAATTCTCATCAGTTGCACCACGAGGTGGACATATTGCAAACCCATGCCGCAGTCGTACAGGACCATGATAACGAGGAAGACATTGAACATGAACTTCCTTTTAAAGTCATGGGTGCTACTGGAAATCAACAAAGACAAAATTACCTCGAGCATGCCTTTGAGAAGATGTATGGTGATGAACAAGCAAATGTTGATGTGTGTATAAAGGCTGACCCTACTAATGCGTACGACGCCAATGCAATTTGTGTTCAAATTAATTATGGACAGGGTTGGAAATTAGTTGGTTTCCTATTGAAAGATCTTACACAGTTTGTTCACCCAGTGATGCAGTTGCACAATATTGTAAAAGTAACAATCGCTTACATTCGATTTCGAACACATTGGGCAACACCTGGCTTTTACATGAAGATTAAAATTAAACGTAAAGGTGTCTGGCCACAGGAAGTTGTAAGAGCAAGCCAGAGGGTGCATAAGGTACACTTAATATACGGCATCGGCCATTTACTTATTGCGAGGAACGGGTTTCTTAAGATTTATTGTCAATTTGCACGCTCATTAATAAAAGCCACCTTTATTTATGAAATTTCTTAAGAAGTTTGTGTCATAAATGTTTCGCTTAAATTTCAAAAGTGCACACTCAGAATCAGATTTGGTACATATTTTAAAGATCTAAGGTACACTGCTATAAAGTTATACTTGGCAGCATATCAGGGGCCTTGTGAAACTTTGCCCGTACTGTCAGGGTGTTCTTTTGTGGCAAGTGTGCTCTGTTGTGGACAAACAGACCAGGATCTGATCTTCTTGATATTTGGATCTTGTCTAGCCTCTCAATACCACTAGAAGAAGGTTTGAAACTAGGTAAGGGATCAGTTTGGTAGCGCTCTTTGTATTGCGTCCAATAGTAGAATGGGAGGTCAGGATCCATTCTCTTCTTAAACTCGTTCTGCACTTTTGGGAGCTGATCAATGAATGTCTTGTGGTCGAAAACTGGGCCAAGAAGGTCATGTAATGTTGATACCAATCCCTCAACATCATCTGTGGAACCCGCTCTCGGGTGCTCCGGCGGAAGTTGTCTTTCTACATACTCTTGTCGTCTTAACTCCTGACTTTCTATGTTGGCAATAAGCCCAACAATCAGTTCCCTTGATAGGCCTCTTATACCCTTTATCGGCCTAAATAGAACCAAATTACAGTTCGAATTAAAAAAAAATATTAAAACTCCAGATATTACTTGGTTGATATTACCTTAGCTACTGAAAATAAAATCTTGTTCTTGACTATCCAGTCACGAAAGTATTCTAGGGCAAATGCCCTTTGTCAAGAATTTACAAAAACGAATGCCTTTTCTTGAGGTGTACAATAATTTTAATAATTATACAGTTTTTAATAGGCTGCCCTGTTATCTACATACATGTATTAGTTAAACTGTTTCAGAAGAGCACTTTAAGCATTCCAGATGTAATATTTTCAAGGGACAACATCTGTCAATATTAAGGCTATATGAAAAACTAATATTTACCTATTTATGTCAATAGTGCTGTAGTCTTTGATGTAACGATGCCATGGCATCCAATCATCGAGAATCCAATGCAACATGTTCATATTTGCTTCTTTCCTGAATTCCTCCGTCAATCCTCTTCCATCAGATGCTTTATGCCAATCATGAACAAGCTTTACGAATTCATATTCTTTTTGATGGCCATTTTCTTTCATGAACTTGATGACACCTACAGAAAAAATCTTCTCGCAGTCAGGGACAGATTGTTTATTGACCCCAGTAAGTGCTGTCTTCGTAAGGCCACTTTTTGGATCGTGCAATGCATCAACAAAACACTTCAAATTGATGCCAGGTATTGATCCAACTCTCAAACAGTTTGTTAGTCTCTTGAGCACGTGGTTGTGATCTTCCCTTTCATGGAAGAATTCTTCGATTTCTTCGTCGTACTCTGGGATGTACAGATGAGTACTGAAATCTCTTCCATTGTCCTTGCTAGTAGCCACTTTACTCTTGAAGAGGTACATTGCCATTAGAGACTTTAAGCAGTCATTTGCTGTTTCCGTTTTACCTTTGGAGTAAAAAGTAAAGAACACACTTGAATTATGGTACTGAAAGATAGAATAATAAGAGAAAACAGTAGCTGTGGAAACTTTGAGATCCTTGGTAAGTAAATGGTTTGCATCATCCAGTTTCATCCTTTCCAATTATTGGCTAAGACAGGGTTTCTTTTAGGAGGGGCCTTGCCCCCTTAAAAACCTGCAGTAAGTTTGAGCTTCACATGAAATTGTTATTTTTGTGGTTTGCTGCCAGAAAGATAAATATAGTTTCCATGTTTGCAATATGCACTAATGGCTCATGATACAAGTTCCTGAACCATTCATACGAAAACTACAAAGATAAATTATTTACAGTACCTACAACCCAGGGGTATGGATCATGGTGATGTGGGAAGTGTGTCCGCCTAAGAATGTGAACGGCACTTTCAAATGATGCTTCGGAAATAGCCATGTAATGGAATAGCCACTGCACATCCTCCACTGGAACAGCAGGATGAACCTTCTGTGGCAAAATAACACCTGCAATTAAAAAAAAGCATTAATTCTTGTCTGACAGAGGTTCCAGAAATATTTCAAAACTGTAACATAAACGTTATTATTGTTGATATTAGCGACATTGCTTCATATTTAATTGTACCTTCTCTCTCAACTGGCGTCAAATACTCCAGTATCGTCTTCACAGATATTGACTGTGCCTCAGATTTTGACTCCATTATCAACTTAATGATGCTAATTGCATCATGATCACCTGTGGTTCGCAGGGAATTAAATTCGCCATCTGTTACAAAGCCTATAACAGCCAAAGACAAAATTAGTATTGAATGTTTAGCAATTTCTGTTTGGGGAAGTTTTGTTTTCAGCAGTCACAAAGCACATTATGTTTTGGCACAACACTTCATCTAAACAATGCATTTAGACAAATGCATTGCTTGAGACAGAAAGTGTCATTAGGTTAGGCCAACCATTTCATGTTTTCATGCTGACACTGCTGATTTGATTAATGCAGAAGGGTAGTTACATACACTGAATACTTTACAGTATATACGCCATATTTTGAAGCCTGACAAGATTTCAGTTACGGCTCTTCCTACATAAAATGCCAAATGGCAACACCCTTTGGGAAGTGATTGCTTTCAAGACTATATTAAATCCTTACCAACTGGTGTCATGCTAAGCTTCTTCATTTCTGTCACCAGTTCATCTTTTAGCTGGCCAAGCTTTTTATCTGTCAATCCCTTGACGGAAAAAATCTGACTGGTATGGCGTAAGGCTTCTCATTCCTTTTCTCATCAGATAACATGAAAGCAAACACATGACTTGCAGCAGTTCGTTGCTTACCAAACACACCTTTACAATATTCAGTCAATTTACTTTTCATGGAACTTAAGTGCTTTGCAACATTATCACTTGCATTCGTACATGAGTCGTCCAATTTGCTCAGGAGTTCGCGAGTGTCAGTAACAAATGTTCTATTTTGCTCTAGAATTGTCTCAAAACCAACTACATCCCAGGCCAATCCAAAAAGAATGTTTTCCGAGACACGTGCTTGAGCCCGTTTTGTCTCATACTGTTTTTTCTGCTCCTGATAGGAAGTTTTTAAATTTGTATCATCTTCAAACAACAAATCTAAAAGCTTCCGTAACTTTTCCTTTAGTTCCTCAGGCTTTTTGACATTAAGGCTGTTAACAAAAGCAAGCCGCTCACGATACTGTTCTTCCAACTTTTGCAGTTTTCCATCACACAAATCACAGTCTCCTGACCATTCTCTCCTCACGCTTTCACGCAGACCTTCGCGAATATCAAAGGCATCTCCTTTAATCCACCATCTGCCATCCGGGATTTTTTTCTTGGCCATCTTCAATGATTCAATCTGGCAAGAGAAATGAGACATTCGTAGTATCAGTTGTATTTGCATACAATATTAATAGTATAATTACATTACGCAAACAAACAATACTACACTTGAATAGCAGTATCTTTAGAGAATCCAGTATTTTGGATTTTCCTCTGCAAGGTGCGCACAGAAAGACCAGCAACATTCACACGAGCCTAAAAATTACATGTTCTATTTGTAAACGATGTTACTAGTAATAATGCATATGTTAATAGCCAACTTCAAGCATGCCATTTCGTCAATACTGTAAGAATGACAAAGACATTCTAAAAACCTCATAACATGTATTAATAATTAATAATACAGTAGGTTCCTGTACTATACACTAGAGCACACGATTGCAGTTAGTAGTTATCAGTGTGTGTTTATCAAATATATAATCTATGATATTAATCAAACCAATTGTTCTACTCTAATTGTGCAAAGCATTGCTGCAACTGTTAATTATAATTTCATTCTATCTTTGTTGCTCAAAGGGTTAGAAGATGCAACACTTGAGTTTCAATAAAACCAGATTATATATATTATAGTAGACAGTAAGATATGAAAAATACACAGTAATATTTTCCATATCCTCACTAATGAAGATATCGATCAAAATGGCAATGCTTTTGTAAAATGTTCGAACGTGATGATAACGTTTCATGATATAAAGGTATTCCTCTAGTTTTTTTTCAGTGAAAAGAAATCTTTTTAAATTATCATTTTGATATGTTTTCATTTTGAATTTGAATAATTTTAATTTTCGTACTTGCAAAAAACAGTGGTTTAAAGATATGACTTTTATCTTCTCGTGGTAAAAACAATAGACTCTGGTTCTGTACTGTATATAAATAAAATCTGGCTTTATTTCTCAAAATAGTCTATGAATGTCTTTTAACCTCCACTTAGCCAATCTTACAAAAAATCATATGAGCAACTTGTTATTGATTTAGTAAGCTGAGATCTGTAAACATTCTAAGAAGTACTTTGAGTCAACTTTACTTCTCAAATTTACCAAATGAATTCATAAACAGTTTCCCCAATGCTTCTATAATCTATTGGCACAACTAACTAGATAAAAACAAAAGTAATGAAATGTAAGATAACTTACTTTAATTGGGTCTTTCTTAACAAGAACCCTCTGTTCTGAACTACAATTCTTTGATATTCTAGGGTCTGCAAGATTTGAACTTGTCATGTCAGCCATTTGCAAATCTTCAGCATCATCACATGTTATGCCAGACCAAAGAGTTGAGACAAAGTTTGATGTCTCTGCAGGGTTTAACGAACATGTTTCAGCTTCATCATCTGATGACATATTACATGCAGCATCCATATTATTGATGTTGCATGAATCATATTGAACAGCTTGCTGTGTGTTACAGGAAGAATAACTTTGATAATTTCCAACTGTCTCGCTAAAAGCTTGTTGCACAATGTTACTTATGTCACCTGTAAGCTTGGTTGCAGCTTCATCTGGCTTCCCCATGCAGGTTACATCACATGGTTGATCGGAATAAAATTCATCTGCCTTTGAATCTTTTGTTGACCACATTGGGCCATTGTATAGAGCTGCCCATTTATGTCCAAAGTGTGTGAACATTGTAGAAAGCCACTCTGAATAATGATCTTCTGTCCTAAGACCATTAGCATCCTCACAAGCAAAAAACATGATGTTATGACTCAGTAAGCCATAAGGCATTCTATGCAGTGGGAGTCTGCATTTTCCATTACTATCTAATGCTAAACATTTTGCCAAATTGTACACAATGTTGTGTTTTTGGTTCTCATAAAGATTACCCATGGCTGAAATTGAAATGTGGAGAAAATCTTTAGGAACAAATGACTGAGGGATGTTTTCATCTATTAGGAATTGGTTATATAAACATGTTGTGAGCTGTGCTCTTTGGACTTTTGTGAGGTCAGAAAACATTTCACAAATCAACTTCATTGCTTGTCCTCTTGAGTTCACATTTGAATGCTTTTCGGTGAAGGGACTATGTTTAAATACTGGTGAAAAGTTTGCTGATGAGTGATAATACTGTGAGGCAGAAATCGGAGTGGATGTATTCGTGTCTTCTGTAGGTATTCTGAGTGGGACATCATTGTCAAAGTATTGGATGTTGAAATGTTCCTCTGCTTCATCAATAGTTTTGAATTTCTGCTTGAAGAATTTAAAAATCTTGGATCGACAAGCGGTTTCTAAAAAAAAAGTTTTATTTTAGTTGAACTACACTGTACTTCCAATTAACAGTAAGGGGCTTATTCAAACAATGAGCAGCACATGGCAAGGTTGTATAAATACACCAAACCTTTTCAAACACATGCTAATTACTATTACCAACACCAGCTACTTTCAACACTATCCACTGTTAAGAAGACAATTGATCATCCAGACTATTTGAGATTGTCATGAGAAAAACATTTTAGAATGGAATTAAATTATATTTAATACTAGAAAATACAGTAAAAATGTCAATCAAAATGTTATCATGTTCACGAATGAGAGCATCCAGGTGTCCGAATTTAGACCTGTTTTGCATTAACATTAAATTTGATTCATGAATAATAATGTATATAACGACTTATAGGAACACATTCTACCTGATCTTGATGGTAAACCAGTTGATTCTGCAATAGCAGCAGCACATTTTCCCCAAAATATCTTTATGTGTTGGCCAAACAGACTTAGAGGAATCATGGTATAGTGCCACGAACTGAACAAAAGCTGAGAGTTCTTTGTCAGACCATGGTGCTGATGTAGCTGTTATCTAATTAATAAAGACAGGTCGTCAAATTGATGAAGCTCTAATATACCAGTTGCAAACAATAATAAAACTAACGAAATACTTCATTGTAGACTCTATGAACAACGTATTCAAAGTATTTTGAAAAATATAAGATACCTCTGATTTATAGACTGGCATATCTTTTCCTGGGCTAAACAGCAGACTTCGCTTGCTTTTAAACGTAAAACCATCATGAGAAGTTCTTGTTTCCTTTTGTGCGGGTTTTCCCGGCGTATTTCCTGGCGAATATGGAACTTTTCGTTTACGCATTGCCATCACCTGAAATATTAATAATTACAAAATGGCGTGTCAAAGTACTGCAAAGGGCTTAAAACTAGGGTGAAAAGAAACGCGAATATACACTAAACGCGACGAGGTACCCCCTGGTACTCCGTAATATTTTGATTTATTATGTCTTTCTCTGTTGAATTATTCATATATAAAGCTTTAACCATTAGGAATAAGTGAAAAATTTTTAAAGTTTGAAGAGCTTACGAAAGCGAGCTCACAAGACATAAACAAACGCACGTTTGCATAAATCATGAATAAAACATTTATACAAATGAACTTACCGGCGGTATATATGGATAATTGCATGAAAATGTCACATCCTTCCGTTCCCAAAGAGAGATTTCTAATTTAACAATGTTTTGTACTGTAAAAAGACTCTTTTTTGTGCGATACTTTTTCCCTAGTGGCAAGCTCAAGATTTTGTCTTTTGCAGAAGCTAACACTGATTGGCGCAATTCGACCACGTGGTCTGTGTCGCACACCACCTGCTTTTTCAGTGTGCAATCGATACTGCAGCAGCAATAAAAGCATATTGAACAATTGGGAAGTACCGTGCCAACTTAGTGCTATTGATGATGTACTTTCATTGGATTCAAGAAACAGTGTATCAAGTGTAATTAGGGGTATCAAGTGATTGTCTCGAGTTTGATATGAAAAGAAAGCCAGCTATGAAAGATATTGAGAGCCAAGAAAATTAAAGACCTTGAAAAGCCATCATTCTCCACCAAGCAATTGAAGGACCTTGAGAGCACATCATCCTCCACTCAGACAAATAAAAACCTTGAAAGCATATCATTTTCTACCAAGAAAATTAATGACCTTAAAAGTCTATCACCCTCCAGCCAGAAAATGAAACTACCTTACCCTCTAAAGCTCCCAAAAAATTGTGCCAAATTGTAATGATGACCAATGATACATAATAAAGTTAATATTTTTTTAAGCTAACCAATCTGGTAGCAGCAACGTAATAGAGTTAGATGGTTGCAAGAGATGTTTCGACTTCCTCATGGCAGCTGCAGGATTGACAATACCTGTCATTTCTGATCAGCACAAAGGGATTGTCAAGTATATAAGAGATACACACCCTGTGATCAAGCATTTTTTTGACCAATGGCATGTTGCCAAAGGTCTTGTTAAATCAAAGATTGGAGGAAAGGTATATGCAATCACATATATTGGTGTTCAACATCAACTGTTGGTTGTTTTAAGAGCCTGATTCTTGCAAAGTGGAAGTCCTTAATTCAGCACATAGCAAACAAGCATGAGGACCACCCCGACCGTCTTTTTCCAAAATGTGCTCATGGTGAGACTGAAAAGAGAAAATGGATCAAAGTTGGTAAGTTTAAGATAAAATTGATATATTAAAATTGAAAGATGGATACTGGTATAACCACATAGAGCACTGTGTGCCTGTGGCAAATCACTCTTGAATAAATGAGTGATTTATGTGGCAACAGTAAAGCATCAACAAGTGATAGCCAGTTGTACAGTACATATATCTATAGTAATATTCTCATTATTTATCAGGTACAAAAGCATATGACAAACTGCAGGGCATTCTTATGAAGAAAATCGTGTTAAATGACATAGAGCAATTGTACCCAAATGCACAGACCAGTGCTCTTGAAGGGTTCCGTTCTACCTTAATCCAATGGCACCCAAGAATGCTTTGTTTTTCATGGTTTGGAACATATTGTAGGTAAGAGAAAGACTATACGTTTATTCTATAACTGTTTTGTATTATGATATAAACCTAGTTTTGCTTAGTCTATGTATGCATGCATGTTGTAATTGTATAATTTTGTTTCAGACATATTCTGGCAAGCTTAAATTTGAATGAGAATATTAATCGGAAAAGTCAAACATCAAAGGTTAAATATTAAAAATTTATTGATGATCTGTGGTAATTTTTTTTTTGCCCAAGAGCGAGCAACATGTAAAAGGAAACTTGAAGAGGTTGATGCTGCAAGGCTAGCACAACCACATGCAAAGAAACAGAGACAATGCAGAAAATGCCAGAAACCGATGTTAGGGCATCCACATAGTCAACGTCCAAACTAGTAGGATTGACCCAAAATAAAATTTTCTTTTGTTCATTAAAAATATACCCTGTTTATACAGTCCCAGGTACATACCAGCATATGTATTTCCTTACTCACTGTAACCCGAAGCTTTGATATAAATATAACTATGTAGGGTGTATAGTTGACATACAAAAACTATCTAAAATGTGAGTTGGTTTACATGGTACCTAGGATCATACATGACAGTTTGCATAGTGTATCAATAGTTTGTTATGTAGTATTTGCTCATCCTTGCACCTGATTACTGAAATATTGACTTCTTAATTTATGGTACAAGCAAGCAGGCAGTGGCCGGGTGTTCTCCCAACCCATGTAGCCAAATAGCCACTTGGCCAGCCATGGATAGCCCACCGCTCAAGCAAACCTACAATTGAAAGCATATAAATCATCAACTATTTAATTCGTAATTATAAGTATATACATGTTACAAACAGAACATATGGCTGAAAACATGACACAATAGGGGCTATGGGAAAACTCCCAATTTGTCATAAGTGATAAGAAGGTTTTATAAAATAAAGTCATTTATGAACTGAAAATTGCAAAATCAAACTTACTGGTTCTCTGTGTTACAAGGTTGTTCGGTATCATTTTCCATCCTTAGAAGAACAGTTCTATCTGTTAGTGAACTGAAATTGTCATGATCTGTTATGCAAACAAGTGTTCTGTCCACTAAACGTAAATTTCGAATAATAAACCCATATATATTGAATAATAGCTAAATTGCATGCATTTTAAAGTAAATATCACAGCGAATTTGAAACATATAGAACTAAAAAAACATCTATCTACTGAGGACAATGTCCTCTTTTAAATAGTTAAATTTTTAATAAAATCGGTCTAGTATTCGCACAGAAGATGCAAGTTAAAGTGGGCCAACCACTTTTAAAGGTCAACTGATCAGACGACAAAAAGACAAATTTCCGGCACTTAAAAAAAAAAAATTATACCACGAGATTCCTCATATCCAAAAGTGTCATAACGAGGTATAAAGACTCAGACAAAACTTTTGTTTCATAGGCACTTTAAATATTATGTGAGACAATTTGTAAATTTACACATAATGCAATAAATAAATAAAAAGATACGAGAGTGTATAATGAAGACATGCAGTTCGATATATTCACATAAGCGTATAAAGAACAATCGCTATTAAAAGAAATCAGTCAGGCATAGGACAAAAATATGAATTAATAAGCTTCTATATATAGCTATGTCCTTACATGTCTCTGCTACTTTTCCCTTTTGAAGGGAAATTCCCAAAAGGCAAAACTCCCAAAGTTTATTGATAACGAGAAAATGACAAATTAGAATAAAAAAGGTTTATTTAATACTTACAATGTTCCAAATTTGATATGTGATATATTATTGATAATTGGTGATAAAGTTCCCAACCTTAGGATAAATTAATATAGGCTAATCACTGAGTAGCATGTATGCGCACAGACCACAATGTTTATTTTATATTTTGACATAGGTAATTGGAACCATATTCAGGGGTGTAGAAATAGAAATAAAAAATAACTAGATGGGGTAGTTGGGAATTTGTTGGACAACCGCCAACCATGTGGTGTGTTTGAAATAACATTTTTTGTAAAAAGGGTTTTGTTGGTGTATGATGGAGTCTTCAAGAAACCATGTAGTTATGTGTGTAGTAATAGGTTGTGTAGTGTTGTTCGTGGTGTTTAAATCAAAGTTATGTAAGGAGGTAGGTAGAAAAGTACAACAGAAGACAAGAAAGGCAAGTATTTTGGCTGGTTTTAGTTAGGTTTGGGGTTGATGGAAGACTTGGGTGATTTGGGTTATTGGATGTTGTTATGTTTGGTTAGTGTTGTGTCTGGTATTAAGTTTGGCTGTGATAAGCGTGTCTTCTCAGGTTAGTATTGCGTTGGTAGGCTACAATTGGAGGTTTTTGCCATAGTCTCCTCAGTGTGGGGTCATTCTCCAATATATTCCAGTGTTTACGTAGGATGTTTGCAATGCATTTTGTGTTTGTGTTGTATGGAATGGAGAAAATTGGACGGCTTGCGTGTTTTTTTCCTATTGAGTAGGTCTGTTTGAGTGTATTGTAGGGCTTTGTTGAAGTTAGTGGTGATGGTGTCATGGTCATATCCACGATGGATCAGTGCAATCAGGTGGTTTAGTCGTTGTTGTAATTTGTTGTTGTCTTTAATAGTGCGTCTGTATCGTAGTGCCTGACTGTAGATGACTGCATTCTTGCATGTGGTGGTGTGAAATGAGCTTTTGTGTAGTAGGAGGGTTTTCTGAGTTGGTTTAATGTACAGGTCTGATTCCAGGTCAGATTGTTGTTTTTGTTTTTGTAGATAGTTGTGTCAAGGAAGTTGACAGATTTCTCAGAGAAGGAAAAGTCAAATTTGATGGTAGGATGGAAATTGTTTATGTATTTAAGGAATTTTTCCAGTTTGTCAGTGCTGTGTCCAAATTGCAAATATGTCATCTATAAATCTTATCCATTTAATAGGTATAAGATTTTCAGGAGCTTCAGTGCCGTTCAGCGTCATTCCAGTGCTGCTATGAATATGTTTGCATCGGTAGGTGCCATTGGTGATCCCATAGCAGTGCCGTGAATTTGTAAAAAGTGTTCATTGTTAAAAGCAAATACGTTCTTCTTAAGTACAAGGGATAGGATGTCGTGAACTAGTTTCTCCATTTCAGGGGTAATTGTGTTGATTTCTTTCAACATTGAACGATGAAGGGCTACCCCTTCTGGATCAACATTTTTTAGTCAGCCAAATGTCAAGAAAATTTGCCATGTGGGTATAATTTTTAATTCTCTCTATAAGAAAAAAGTCTATACATAGAACTCAGGTAAACAGATACTGTCTGCAATTATTATACTTTCATTTTATTGGCTTAGAAACACAACACAGTATGAGCAGCAAGCCTGAGAGTGCTGAAGATGCAATTAGAAGGATTGTGGAGACCGTAAAGCAAAAACATGGGGAGGATTCACATCAACGTTACAAATTTCGATTGTTGTCTGAAATGGTGGTAAATTTAATATTTAAACTAATTAATATTAATGCTTTAAACTTTGCTAAACAAGGATAAAAATCGTTAGCATTAAATGTTTTTCTTAAAGTCAGGTGGATGCATATGCATAATTTTGCAGAGGCTTTGGGTCTGCTACTGTGGACACCGTTCCCGATGCACCAATGTTTCGTATCCCTGCAAAACATCCCAAGCAAGCAGCTTTGTCAACTTGAGCAACAGATTCAAACAGTTATGGCCCATGCAGACAACAAGCTTCTGCACCTATTAAATTGGTGAGTATGTATGAGCCTTGAATGGTATAGTTCCAGCATAATTCACAAGCATATAATTTGATAGCAGTCACTTGGGGAGTTTCAGTACATGTACATATTTTATAGATAATAAATAGATTTATAGACAAAATTATAATTTTGTGCATGCATGCATGTTGTAGTATTTATGTTACAAATACATTATGTTCCTGTTTTTTTGAGCTTTGATCATAGCATGTTCTTTCTACATTCGGTGACTATTTCATACAGATATAGGCTTGCTTGGCTTTGCATATTTTTGGCGCAAAAATGTAAACAAACGCAGTCAAAGTTCCACTAGTCAGTCTATGACGTAGTATTTTCACTTGTTGTGTAAAGTTTTGCTTGTTTTTGTCCTGCAAACCTTTGTAGAAAATACTTGGTTCTTTCTTTCTATATTTGCCAGCATAAAGTATGTTTTAAATTTATTCTTAAATTCAAGAAATTCGGCCACAAATCCTTTTTTTGTGGTCAGGTTTTTAAAATATAATTGTAGGTTAAGCTAAATTTTTTAAATGTATTTTAAATTAATTGAATAGGTAAATTATTCTAGTTATTAAATATAAGTAGTATAATATAGTTTAAATATAAGTATAGAGATATAAATTTAAATATATAATATATATCTGGCAAAATGGGAGATGAGCTTAGCACCTCAAAGTATGTAGACAATATGCAAGTAGAAACTCAACCATGGACCAGGAATCTCAAGTTACTCCCTCCATTTACACACAATAAACTCCAAAAACACTTAAGCCTGGAGCAGGGCCTTTTTTAACATATATACTGGGGGGGCCAAGGCCCCCCCACCCTCCATGTTGCCCCCCCCCAGTCCACTATTTTGGCCCCCCCAGTGAAAATCCCCTTTTTAAAAGATATTAACAAAAAATGAAGAATATTGAATAATTTAGCTCTGCGACAGTGTATTACTATTAGCACTCTTGTATTCTGTAACCCAACCTTTGTTGAATGTAATTCGACGAATGTTATTTGTCGAGAGAGTTGAGCACGAAAACGACTTAAATAGACAAATAGATTCATCGCCTTGATAAATTTCCTAAACTTTTCCGGCCATGTTTGTCGAATGTCAAGAATCAAGTGTACAACATCACACAGTAAATGACAGTATATGCGAGAGTATGCGCAGGCGCGATGGGCCTGGACACGAGTTTTCTGGGGCAGCCATTTTGTTGTTTTGTTCAAAAAGTAAACCGTAAAAGTTTTGTATTGTGAAACCTGAATACTGAATACATATTTAGTGAATCGAAAACATTGTTTTGGTGTCGGTGATGCCTAATGCAACAAAAAGAAAATTGGAAAACGAAAAAAAGTTAAAAAAGGAAGCAAGTAAGTGCAAAAAAAATAACTTCATTTTTCACAAAGAGTAGTAGTGGTGAGGCATGTGAGAAAGAAGATCCTTCATTTAGCCCATCATTAGAAGAAGAAACTGGCGACATTACTTCCGCGAGTACTGTCACTAGACCTGGACCGGCTACTTTGACGTCAAGTTCTGGTATAGGCAAGAATACTGACAGCACATTCCATAACACGTCCGACTCTCCAGCTGTTACTCAACAATGCGAACA